AAACTTTTAAGAATAGTAGTTCAGGCAGTAATGTATGTAGTAATTGTAATTCAACCAACCATATTATTAGACGATGCTTAATAAGCACAATATAGGAAATAAATAATACTTATATGCATACGCACAAAATAAATTGCCTTTGTAGATAAAATCAATGTCATTCAATAGGAAATTAGAAATTTTAGAAGCAAATTTTGATTATCAAATTGCTACTTATCAAAGGTTTTATTTCAGTTGACATCCTTAATATAATAATTCCAAAGTCATAATATCAACACTCAATATAAATTTTAATTTAATAAACCTCTGGGTAATATAAGACAAAATTCAATAAAAACATCCTCTAAATTATTATTATTATTTTTTTTGAACAATTCAAACCAGAAAAGATTGTATACTTTTACTAATACCTTTGTTTTGCAATATGCCGCCACTGAAAAATCTGATAATTATAGCCTAAATTATGAATATTATATAATTTAACAAAAGACCATTATTATTAAGTAGATTTAATTTAGGTTTCCAGAAAAAAGTTCTTAAAAACCTACATTATCTGATTGAAATACTATTAAGTATTCATTTGTTCTTGTATTTTGAGTCAATCCAAATATCTTTTAACTATCATCATACAATCTACATTTTAACAATTATTAAACTTAGTTTAATGTATTCAATAAACAATTCAAAGAATTGTATTTAACTTACTTCCCTTAAAAATCAGAAGATTTTTCTCGGAACAAGACAATCCAAGATCAGAGATTGCATATGCTTGCTAAAGCCTCCATCTTGTAGTGCGCTACTTCTATAAAAATTTGTATCGTAATATCTTAAATCATGAATGTTATATAAATTCAACAAAAGATAATTAATACGTACTAAGTAGTTTTAATTCAGTTTACCAGATAAAATCATAAAAATTCTTCTTAAAACATACAAAGGTCTCGTTATTTGATTGAAATACTATCAAAGCATTTATTTGTTTCTGCATTTTGAGTCAATCCAAATATCTTTAGACTAATACCATATAATCTATATTTTGTCAATAGTTAAACTTAGTTTAATATGTCTAATAAACTGTTCAATGAATTGTAATTTAACTTACTTCTCTCAAAAGGTCAAAAGACTTTTCCTTAGAATAATAGTTCAAGATTAGAGAAACTTGCATACTTTTATTAATGCCTTCATTTTGCAATACGTTATTACTGTAAAAATCTGCATGAATATATTCTGGATCATAAATATTATATAAATCCAATGAAAATTTCGACTTAGCTTGCCAAATAAAATATTAAAAGTTTTTTTCAAAAGCTTACAAAGGCTTTCATTATTTGATTGAAATATTATCGAGTATTTATTTGTTTCTTCATTTTGAGTTAATTCAAATATCTTTAGAAGACTATTGTACAATCTGCATTTTGTAAAATTGTTAAATTTAGTTAATGTGTGTTCAATAAATTATTCATATATTGTACTTACTTTTTTTAAAAGGTCAAGAGTCTTTCTTTATAATAGACAAGATCTTAAACATAATAATACTAGATGATATATGTTCTCTTACAAAATTACTAACATCATTAATGTTTGTAAACTACCCAACCAGATTGCTGAAATACAACATTAAATTTTCTTTGCTGATTATTTAAGTTTATCGAATGGAATCTATTCATTTAATTATTAGTTCTAAGTTAAAGAACTCATAAATTAGTAATATCTTACTTACCTTTAAATTGTTATGTTACTATATTTCATGCGTGTTGTAATTGTATGAACATACTTTCATAATATAAAAAAAGATCAAAAGATAATAATTAAGATGCATATGCGCTTATGTATACAGTATGAAATAAATTAATTGAAGTGCACTTTTTAGTTGTTAGTACTTATAAAGCTAATTTCCAACTGATTATTAAATGACCTTGAATAAACTACCTAAAAAAATATTATTTAATTGTAAGTATTTATGTGCATAAACTCCAATTTAATAAATCAACAATTGATTTTAACACACTTACCAAGATTCAGACTTAAAATTATCAAATAAAAATATTTGATACCAGAATTTTATTAAATATTCGCAGTTAATAAGATTTATTGAACCAGTTTTGTTATTATTCTAGACCTTAATATATTAAAGATTCATATTTAATTTCATATCTACAGATTAAATAAATAAGTTAATTATTACACAACTAATAAGATTACTTACCACTAAGAACAAAGCACAATAAGTATCAAATTCTTTGACAAATAAAGTTATTCAAAAAGTATTAGATAATTATTAAATAAGTTTGAGAGTTTTTGTGCAAATATTTTTACAGTAGAAATTAAAAAATAGTATATAAAAGGAGGCTTATTAATATTAAAATACTCATACGATCTAATTATATTTCTTTAATTCATTAAAATTTTATCTATTCTAATGCATTCAACTATTTTCTACATTTTTTCCTTTACATCTTGTATAAGTATGATCTTCTTTGTTGCATAATTTGCATAGAGCTGTGCATCGTCTAATAATATGGTTGGTTGAATTACAATTACTACATACATTACTGCCTGAACTACTATTCTTAAAAGTTT